ACACACACACACACACACACACACACACACACACACACACACACACACACACACACACACACACACACACCATGAAAATATCCACTCACTGAAGAGAAAATGTGGGTTAAACTGTGAGCTCTTACCTGAGAGTGCAGGTTCAGAGGTGGGCGTAGCCATGGCCGTCGTGTCCACCTGGCTTCGTTGCTCTGAGTCGGGCGAGGAGGTAAGAGGAGACGAGGAGGACGGAGCGGACGTTTCAACCGAGGAGGAGCTGGAAGTAGCAGGTGCTGTGGCTGCTGCAGATGACCCTGAGGAGGATGAGGAGGTGGATTTAGAGACGGGGGTGACAGCGGCGGCAGCAGGACTGGGGGTCACCTCCGGGGGGTCAGTCCCCACGGGTCTCTCGGGGGCCCCGGACTCCTGACTGGAGTCTCCTGTGGGTGCAGCCCCCTCTGGACGAACAGCAGTCCCTGGAAATAACACAACAGATAAAAACAAAGCTGGAAAACAGTTTTATTAAAATGAAGACAGATTTAAGGACTTTTAAAACAACAAAGTCTTACCTCGGGGTCGAACCTGGGGTCGGGTTCCTCTGCTGCTCTGAGCTTCACTGGCCTCCTCAAACCACCGGGACAACATGTCCGACATTCTCTGCATCAGGGACACATTTGGACTCTGTTCCCCTGGAATAAATTAATGAATAAAAATCAAAGAAGGKAGCATTTCAGGATTTCTTTAAGTTAGTAGAAGAACAGATTATTAAAACTACGATAAAACATGTTCAGTAACTTGTTTTATCATCAGGTTCTGTCATGAGTCTGTCAAAGTGACAACATCCTGCTTCAATCTCACATTCAGGCTTAATTCTTCTAAATATTATTTGATTTACTGGGTAAAAAATGTCTTGCAAAATTAACTTGCTGACTCTATTTTAAAGTGAAAGAATTCTTAGCACAGCTAATTGTTTTCAAAGAAGAAATGGCATCTTAATACAACGTACATTTACAACATTTTAAAGGGTTATTTTAAAATGTATTTTTGTTATTTATTTATCCGCAAGCATTCATGATTTTACAAACAAACAAACAAAAATAACAATAATAATGATACAATAGGTAATGGCATTAAACAGAATAAGTAGGTTTGACAAAGTGAGTTTAGAGGTTAGGTTTAAATGAGGACAGAGAATCAGAATTAAAGGGGAAGGAGAAACTGTGGAAGAGTCAACTTTAATTATGAAGCTGTTACATTTGGATAAGAGAGACTCTGAGCCAACAACAAGAAATTCTGTTTTCTTAAGAGTTCAGTTTAAAAACAAAACTTCTAGACGTGCCGATGAGCAGATGTTTGAGAACAAGTTTTAATACCAACTTAAAAGCAAACAGGAGCTTAAAGGGAGACGTTGAGTATTTTCCACACACAGTTCAACTCTATACCACAATCAAGTAACTATGTTACCTTCAGTTGATCTGAAAAAGCTGTATGTATCAAAAATAAATTTGAGTTTACATCATAGCCTATCTAAATGCCTTGAAATTGGGCTCCTATCATTTCAGACACTTCCACTTTAGCACATCTTCACAATGTATGTTTCTGATGGAATGACTTGATATAATGCTAAAAATATATAAATAAAAATCAGTTTTGCATAATACCACCCACCCCCCCCAATTCAGGTTCATGTCATCTGAAGCTCTGCAGGCAGATTGAGCTTGATGATTAATAAATCAGAGTTTTTGTGGTTTTAAAGTGGCTGTGACGTCAAGTTTTTGTAATAAACATGATTGTATTTTTAGAAAGATGACATTGATAACACATTAACAAAAAGGTTTCATGTGCCTGAGGTGAACAGTTGTTGGGATATTTGCATGTGAATTAACAGAAAGTGATGTTAAAAGGGAATGTCTGCATGGAAACAGAGCATTGCTACAAAGACCGACAACACAGACTGTAGAGAAGAATCTGATGTTTCTTTAGATTATTTTAATCACTATCATAGAGAGATAAGAGTCATATAGTTCAAATAATATTGTTTAAATAAACAAAAGCTAAGGAGTTCCCTTTCTTAAAGAGTTCCCCTTTGATGTCACTTCCTGTTTCACTTTAGCCGAGCCAAGTTCAAAAGAAAACACGCCAATTATGTGACATAATGGGTAAAATCATGTGTATTARGCCAAGTTTCTTAAATATAAATACATTTTCTCATMGAAATGCATGTCACAGGCACTTTAAAGTAAAAGTAATAACAGAAATGAATAAAAATCTAAATATTTGGTCAAAACACTTCCTTGGACACGTCTGAAATGTGCGTTCTGCCACAGGACAGAACTGGGATCTTACCGTCTCTTTCCCTCTCACTCTCAGGGCGAGCTCGGGGTCCGGTGTCGGACCAGTCCCCCCGAAGGCGGAGCCGCTTGACTGGAGGCTGCCTCAGCTGTGGAAACACACACACACACACACACACACACACACACACACACACACACACACACACACAGATTAACAGATTGTCAGTCAAAGCATGGTCAAAAATAACTTCGCTGCCAACGCAAAACACTGAACGTTTCTGTCGGTGCCCTCTCTAAACTCCCTCCCCCCACCCCAGAGGTTGCCTCCTCTTTCAAGTCCCTTTGCAGCGCAACAGGCAGGGGGCCAGAATTAGAAGGTGGGGGCTGGGGGGGCGGGGGCTTCACAGAGGAAATATCATCAGGTCTGAACAGGTGGTGAAAAAAGACATGGTGGTGTAAATAAGAAAGAAAAAGARGGAGAACAAATGAGGTCAGGGGTGAAGAAGGAAGACCGATAAGATTTTCCTTTGCTGTCCCTGCCTCCACACCTCGACCAACATCAGTGAACTGAGGAGCACCGCCTGCGTCAGTCGCTGTATTTGGACAGGAATGTGTGAGTGGATCCTGGTGAAACACACGCAGCTGAAACACGGGCTCCATGATGAAGCACATTCAGACAACACCTCATTTATCATTTAGATTTACCAACTAAAATAATACATCCACACGATAAAAACACAAAAGCAAAAGGTGGAAAGCACCACAGGTGTCTAACACAAGTGTGCTGCAGCTCTCCTCCATCCCCGTCTTGGTCGGGGGTCATTTTCTCCACGGCATCGGCCAGCACAGATTTAGCTCTGATTTCTGCAGAGCTCAGAGTGACAAAAACAAATGCTGCTCTGATTAGAACAGCTCTTAACAAAACACTCCTCTTAAAAAAAGTTATAACGAAGTTACTGGAAGTTTCTCCTCCAAACACCTGCTTACAGTTTGTTGATTCTGTATAGTAAAAATGCAAATCCAGATTATAGTGAACTCAGARGAGTAACAAATGCAAAGAGATGCAAGCGATAAAGCAATTGCCRGTTTGTYTGTCTGTTTGTTAGCAAAATTTCTCAAACCACTGGAGATTTAAATGAAACTCTRAGAAAGTTATGATWGTTTTCATGTCTACAACTGGTTACCTTTTGGAATCAATGCAATTGAAGATGGCTAATTGACCTTAGAAAACACAAAAATGGTGATAACCCAGTCAGTTCCACAAACCCTGAGCTAAAAAGTTGAGTGGTAGTGGCTGAGCATCGCCATCACATGTTCTGAGTGCAATCAGATCACGCAAGGTCTTTGATAAATGTTCTTTGGCTAATGTTGTTGTTGTTGTAATGTTTCTGACATGAAAAGAAATTAGAGCTACTCACTTTTGTTTAACAGACTTTATTTCTATAAAGGTAACCTGAAGCTTTATTTTCTTATTGTGCTATTATTTGTTGTTTTATCATTTTTGTTCAGTCYAAATCTAAAACCTAAAACACCTAAAGCACCTCAGACCTAACTCTGCCAAATAACTGTCTAAATATATATATATTACAAAGACAACCTATCATCACYGATTGCTCCTACTCTTTGTTTTCAGGTCTGCCACTTTCAGGTTTATTCCTGGTMTTAGTCAGAGGACCTGGGTGGGATCTCACCTCCTCCCTCCTCTCCTCTGACGGGCCCTTGAGCTCTCGGGCCTGGTCGTCTTTGGGATCGAACAGGTAGATGTAGTCAGAGGAGTAGCTGACCAGAACCTCCTGGCCGTCCTCGCTGTAGCAGAGAGACGTCACCCTGCACGACTTGTTGGACAGGTGGGCAGGAACGAACCGGACGCACATGCCCGTCGTGCCACGTCCCATGTAATTACCTGAGAACGAGAGAAAAAGTGGCAAATTTTTGTTTGAACTAATAAACTCCTAAATGTACTTGCRGACGACCTGACTTCTAGAGGACGACGACACGGTTTACCTGTGGCTCTGGTGCCCAGCATGCGTCTGTCGTAGATCCGCACCGAGCTGTCAGAGCAGCCCACAGCCAGGTAGTACGGCACCAGAGGAGAGATGGAGATGGAGGTCGCTGCTCGTCTGCAGTTTATCAGGATGTCCTGAGYTCACAGTGAACAAAGACAGGTGAGGCTTAAACACAAAAAACAGTAACAGTGAAGTTACAGTCCTGTGCAAACGTTTGATACTGCTGCAAATAAAGGTTTTAATCAATARTTCTTCAGGCTTTCTGGATGTTTTTGCTTTTGGCTTTTCATTCTCCTTTTGTTCAGTTCTTATACTCAATATGGAGACATATTGATCCATTTAAAAACAGAGTGGACAAGCCACATGTATGTATGTATGTATGGCAAGAATTCAACAATATACCTCTTTGAGAATCACTTTGTTTATGCTAAAATACTATTTAATATATCTAACTGTTATCTTTGTGGTTATTCATAGATTCAGCTAAAAAAAGGAACAAATTGTGTCTTTAATGCTGCTGGTGTCCAGTTCAAAATMACTAATTTGCCTATTTATTAGTCATGTGTCAACTCAGCACTGGTTCATCGTTCAAGTTGCTTTAAAAACAAAATCATTATTCCTGTAAAGATTTTTGGATTGAAAATAAATGGAAAAGCTGACAAAGTCCAAACAAAACCTTTAAAAGACCTTCAGAAAGCTTGGAGAACTAATAATAATAATAATATTAATAACAATAATATAATACGCCAATATTTTTTTCTAGAAATAATTAAAAGAAAGTCTTTACAGCAACAAAAAAAAACTACACACAAAATCTAAATCTTAAATGCTTTTTATGTTTGAGTCATTCTTAGGGTAGTAGTCCCTCAAAAAATGCCTCTAAAAGCAGAAAACCAAGAATAACTAAAAGAGAAAAAACAAGAAAATTATATAAAAGCAAGGATTCACTCCTCTAGTAGACCTAATTTGAACCCAAACTGTTCTGGTGAATCAGTTCTGAAACTGTTGTTTGTTTCACTTTTTCACAGACGAGCTCTAACAGTTTCAGGGTTAAGAAGAGGGAATGACAGTCTGGTAAAGTGATCAACACTTTTAGGGTCACAAGTTCTGATCTGGAACAGGAAATATGAGAAGATACAAAGTCAAAGCAGCTTGATTTCAAACCAAGAGAAGAGTTTGCTAAAGTGCTCTAGAGGCAGCAGAGCTCGTATAGGAAGGATTTTGATGTTTTTCTTCAACAAATCATCAGTTTGTTCCTCCATAAACCACTATAACAATAAAGTGAATGTTTTTTAAAATGTAGAGATAATTGTTCCAGCTGTCACCGTACATCTTTACAGTCTTCTTTGGTGCAGCTGGTTTTTGTGCGCAGGTCGAACCACCGCACCGTGCCGTCCTCCCCACACGACAGGAACGTGTAGGGGTCGTTTGGCACAGTCATAATCTGACAAACAGTAAGAGCAGAGGTAAGGCAAAAACAAAAAAAAAGAAACATTTTTAATTGCTACAGAAGCGGCACGGCTCAGCACCTCGTACGCTGTCCCATAATGGCAGCTGAACTGACACTGTCTGTTGTACTCGGGACTCTTTTCGGTGTGTGTGTAGAAGATGATGCCGTCTCCAGAGCAGGAGATGATTTCCTGATCGTTAGTGTGAGGCATGAACTTTGCACTGAAGATGTTTGCTCGATGACCTGAACGGATGGACTTTTTGACCTGTAGAGGAGAAAATAAAAACAAAATTAAAAAAAACGTGACTGAGATTTCTGTATTAACAGAAACATAAGGTGTTAATTTGTGGTGTTTAAAGACAGTTGTAAAATGGCTCACAAAGCCAGGCTGACAGGTTCCACTTGTTTACACACTTCGTGTCAGATGAGAAACTTTTTCTTGACAAGAGGCAGATTAATTCAATTAAATAAGGGGTGAGCATTTCAAGCAAAACCACAGTAAATTAAAGTCTGCCCAACCCCACGAGTTCACCGTGACCATAGGTTCTACTTAGTAATCCTTTCAAAATAAAACTACAATAGCAGAAAGACACTGGATCATTCAAGTTTTTTTTTGTAAAGTTTGAGAACTACAGTAGGTGTGTGAAAGACCATGACATAGAAAAAAAAACAGTTAAAGGGATCCATGATTAGTTGTAACATTAGACTTTATTTAATAAACATATATTTTAATTGTAAAAATACTGTAGGATGTTCAGTTTTTATCATTTTTAAACTAAAAGTTTAAAAATATATTACACGGACGGGGCCATTTTATTT